GTAGTTGGTGTAGTAGTTAAAGGCCATGAATTCTAATCCTGCTTTAGTCATGGAGCCCTGTTGGGGGACTCTAGGCCAGCCACTTTCTTTCAAACCCTGGAAGAATGCAATGGCAAACTCTTCTGAAAACTTGTGAAAAAACAAAAAAATCAAAAACCAAGTTAGGAAAACATAAAAAAAAGGAAAGAAAGTAGCCACAAAGGCTTATTTGTCAGGTTTGGTTATCACTGTTGATGTGGCATCAATATTGACCTTAATGTTGTTATGTTGATGTGACTTCTCCATGCTGAAGATCTGAGGCAATGCCCTTCCATCAAAGGTAAGCAACTGACTCATGGTGATTGGAGTTTATCAGCATGTGCATTTTCTTTAGTGTATCCCCACTTAGCCTCTTTTCTAGTTTCCTGTTTGATGTGTGCATAATGAAAGGACATGCTGTTCCTTCTATGGCCTCTTCAGTAACTGGAAAAAACAAGACGGGGGTGAATTTTGCTCTTGTTTCTTCCACTCCCAATTTTCATAGCCTCCTTCCAGGACCCTGCTTTCCATTTGATACCCCTGACCATCAATAGGGAGAAGGGAGGAAAAGGCAACTCATTATCCTTTCTATGGATTTCTTAATTGATTATGTACCATCAAGTCGGTGTTGACTCTTAGTGACCATATAGATAGATCTTCTCCATGATGATCTGTCCCTAATCAGGTTTAACTGTCAATCTATTGTTGGGTTGTCAATTTCTTCCATTACCTTTATTTAAGAATTTAGTCAAAAGTCAACTGCTGATCAATGAAGGGAAGAAAGAGGGTCGTTCGGTGGCAGCTAGAAGATTTATTTATCTACCAGTTGATGCAAGATAAATTGTTGATTGGCCAGGTCTAAAGCTCCTTAGCTGGGACCCTTCTTTTGGACCATCCAATCAGCAAATTTTAGACAAAAGCACCTGGAATGATTGGTTGATTGAATGTTTATGTGCCATGAAATCATTTTTGACTCCTAGTGCTGGCGGCAGCATAGGAAGCAGCATAGGAGAGAGAGAGAGAGAGAGAGAGAGAGAGAGAGAGAGAGAGAGAGAGAGAGAGAGAGAGAGNGTTTTTATTCTTGTTAAAAAGCAGCACCAAGCATTTTGTTAAGGGGTAAGCCTAGAAATGCCTACAATAAAATAAATATTAATATATGAAGACATAGCTGTTACTCAGTAGGGAAAAAATTGTAAATGGATTTTCAACCGCTGTGAAAAGGCTGCAAAAAGGATGAACAAAACCTACAGCCCCCTCTCTCCTCTCATACCAAAATATCCACAGCAAATATGCAAACATTCCTTCATTCTTGAGGACCTATTTTTCTGAGTCTAAAAGGTAATATGCTATTTCTAAGCCATGTAGTTAGGTGAGGTCAAATTACCCAATATTATGGCTAGGTTCAAGCCTAGCCCAGAGTTATTGGCTCACATATTCTGGGGGTTGAAGTCCACTGGCCATAAAATTGCCATGTTGCCCACCCCTACCCATCAAAGGTAGTGATGGAAAGGGACATAGATTACCTCTTTTTAAAAACCTTATCTTTAATCTTTCTAACGTCCTCTCTTCCTTACCAACTATATTTTTATTTCCAGGGAAAGAAGTTTTCTGGGTAGGAACAAATTAGATATTCTAGAAATCCAAGAAGGGGCTTCTGGAACTTAGGCCAAGGACTGTAGGAAACTTGGCAAAGGACTACGAGGGGTCCCAGACCCCTTGGTTGTTCCACATAGATATGATTTTCAAATCTCCTGACTACAGGGCAAGTAAGACACGTGTATCAATAAGCACACTGAATGTAAGCAGATCTGACTAAACCGTTTTGAACAATGGATTCTTTTTCCTTTGAAAACATATTTAAAACACATTGGTCTCCTATGCATATTCTATACTGCCAGACATTCTATCTAAAAGGAGTACCTTCTGGGACCTGGAGGACTTACAAGCAAAGGAAAATGTTTTCTAAGGAACCTGATTAAACCTTATGGTAGATCATTCTAACCATGCATTTTCTTTAAGAAACTGATTCCTCTTAACTGAGAATCTGCTTGATCTTCCGAGCACAATCTCATGAGTATGGGATCGCCACTGCCAGGTTAGGCCATAACCTTTTAATTTCAGTTTTCAACTGTGATCTTCTTCAGTTCTTTGTCTTCTATTCTACTATCTCCTGGTATTGCCACATCAATTATCCCCACTTTCTTCTTTTCAACCATGTGCAATTATATCTGGTGTGTTATGAGCCAAGACTTTTATCAGTTTGTATTTAGAACTCGCATAATAGTTTAACCTGCTCATTTTCCACTACATTTTCAACTCAATGCTCTCACCAATGTTTTATTATTGGCATATGGTAATTTTTACAGATTTTCATTGAATTATTTTGGCAATTGTGTTATGTTATTTTTTAAAGTCAGTTTGTGTGATCTTCTTGCAATCTCTTAGCACTAACTAACTATATAACCTACCATTTGTTCTATTTCTTTCCACAATCTGCCCTTTGAATCATTTAATGATTTTGTTTAATTCTGGCTTTGATTGCATCAAGCCTTCTTCTTCTTCTGTTTTTTTAATGTTCCAGTTATAAGCCATTGCCAGGTTTTCACTTTATCCACTTTTCCCTCAATCTTTTGTAAAAATTAACCCTGTGATGCTTTTCCTTGTCAGCATTCTGTTTGTGCTTTTACTGTATTATGTTATTTCAATATTCATGTTTTGTTTCCTGTACATTCCAATAAGTTCCAATTTTAAGTTGCACCAATTCTTGTTCTTGGTTGTGTTTTACACAATCAGCCAATGCATGCTTTTCTTTTTCAACACTTTGTTTGACTTAAATTTCTGCCTCCATTACTGCAGGACAGAAATTATCTATCAATATCACTGCAGGGATGTAATGCACAGTGAGTAGTCATCAGTTTTCTTGTTTTTCAGATTATTATTATTATTATTATTATTATTATTATTATTATTATTATTATTATTATTATTATTATTATTATTATTATTATTATTATTTGTGGATTTATATATCTTAACTATTAATCCTAGAGCTGGAACTTGCTTAATGAATCAGGAGCTTCCTCATCAAACTATGTCCTTGATGATCACTTTACAGAATAACATTAACAACAGGCTATAAAATGGTCCTCAGTAATGATGCCGTAATTTCTGAATATTAAATATGACACAAGATGTATCTTTCATATGCAGCAAAAGTTGGCATTAATCCTGTGTTTGTTTTTTAATTTCTCAAGAAAACTGTTCTAATCCTGCATTTTCACGTGCTATTTTTCATTTTATGAACAAATTGATAAGCAGGCAGAGTCTTTTAGCACACTGGATTAATGTTATTTATTCTCTTTGAACTTGATTAAAAAGCTGTCAAATGGAAGTCTACATTTTGTTGGTAGAATACTTTTACAAAATATGGCAGGGGACGTTATAGCTGAAACCATACATTTAGATATAAAATGATTTATTATCCTATTGTTTATCCATGACAACTAAAACTATCAATGTATAAATTGATTCACGTCTGGCCAAATAATTCTAAAGATATACAAAAAGCTTTTAGAAAAAGTTTTTGTTTGAAAGAACTTAATATAGTTCACTAATAAAACAGCTCTGGGAGCATAATATTAATTGGAAAAAACCTATAGAGCACAACAAACTAAGGAAACCATAAAACTTTACAAAAGAGATGGCAACTTAAAATGAGCAGTGTGTTACTTTGGCCATTGGTGCAGAGTTGTACTCAAAGCACTGAATTTCAGCAATTAATTTCAATCTTGATGCAGTCTATAGATTGATCATCCTGATAATCATCTTCCTCCCCAAATGGAGTGGGATACTCAACGAAAGCTACTGGGGCTCAAAACTACTTATGTGATTATGGTAAAGAAATATTGATACTTCTTACTGCCCTGATGTAAGCTAAAATGTTAGCTGTTACCATATTTTGTTAAGTTCACTTTTAGTACTCCATCACCAGTTCTCCTAGCATCTTTTCTCACATTTCCATTCGTGGAACTCCTCAATAAACCAAAAACTACTCCAGCATCAGTAGATAGGAAAAAAAGGCCAGTTGGGACAACTATGTGTGACATATAGAGTCCTGACTACCTTTGAATTCCAGAAATGGTTAGCATTGCCAGCTAGATTGCAGGGAAGATACCTGGCTGAACATCCAAACCACCTATCTGAGGTAGGTGATTTTAACTGTTCCTCCAAGTTTGATGGAGTTTGCATTTGAACATCATCCAGATCTCAATCAGAAAAGAAGTAGTCTGATCACTAGTAAAGAACTAATTGCAATGTCCTCGATTTCCAGATCTTGAAATAACAATTATGACATGAAGCCCAGTTCTAAGTAATGACTTAGAGTCAATGAATTCCTGACTCTTCTCAGATCCCCCCAGGGTACTGAGGCTTAAGTCCTCTAAGTACTAATAACCAATATCAACTTATCAAGGAAATCCAAGAGAGCTCACAAAGGAATTCTCCTAGGCAGATTCCCTAGCTTGACCCTACAGCCCAACCTCAAATATGGGCATTCACATTGTGTAGAGTACAACCCCCAACCACTGCCACAGTATACCAAAGAATCATTACCATTTTGGTTCCTTTGCCTCGGAGTCAGGGCTACTGAAGGATATTAAATTTGGGAAAGAATATCCAAAGAGGACAGTATTCCCACTCTTACTCAACCAAGTTTTGATAGTACATGTCATGTCCTCTCGCTCATCTACGACCAGTACTTTGTCACAAATAGGTCTGATATTTGTCAATGGCCTCTTGAGGTCCAGGCTTTCAACTATCTAACCTGCCAGATCCAGGGGTACAGTCAACTCTCGGCTATAAACAAAGATATGCACAAAAGGCAAAATGTACTGGCAAAGACCGAGTTGTTTAAAGAGTTAATTCAGAGTACATATAAGCAAATGTTGACAATATATTTTTATTTCAATGTTTGGAAATGTAAAGACAAAACCATCACTAAGTTTTCACAAAATGAGGCATCTGTCACTAGAAAGAAAAAGAAATATTTCAAAAAGATGTTTACAGAAATGTAAAAATATTAGGTATCAAGACAGATGTGAACATATTCAGCAACATTCTCGGTCTGTCAGTCAGAGCTGAAGATCTTGGTGTATTCACTTAGCATCAGCTCAATCAATTGGTTTTGATACAGCATGTGGATCGCCATAGATCCTGTCTCTTTTTCAGGTCGAAGGAGAGTTGGTCCAAAAACAATTCCTAAACTCTGGGGTGACATAAGATTCATGTTCTCCTTGGCTGCTATCCTATTGGTAAAAAGAAAAAAAAGTTAGAAGGAAGGAAAGAAAAGATAATCAAAACATGGATTATGACCATGCTGCTATTTTTCCACTGATACTTTAATTATACCCTGACTTTTTGTTTAAATGTTAGAGAGAATTAAATAGAAATGGGAAAGGGGGTGTTATTAATATTTTGGATCCAAGATGACAGAATTAAGACAAAATAATTTCTGCTTAGCAAGCATCGGAACCTTCCCATATATTCTTTGTTGTTGTATTCCATCTTTATGTGAAGTTGCTTATGGGTTTGCAAAACCAGAATTTTTCTCCCCAAGTTTTCTTTTTCTTTCCTCTTAATACTTTAGGAATTACACAAGATGTTAGTGTATAGTGAAATGCTTTTGGGTATTGCGATATGCTTTTTAAAGAACTGAAGTGCATTAATGGGTGCACCAACCAAAGCTGAACAAAGACCTTCTTAACCATAGTCTTTACCTATTAATGATGTAGAAGCTGTGAATCTAGGACAGGGGTGTCAAACTCGCAATGTCATGTGATGTATCGCGACATATCACAACTTTTTTGCCATTGCCGGCAATGGGGTGGGCATGGTTTTGCTATGACGCATCTGGCCCACGGGCTGGCAGTTTGACACCCCTGATCTAGGAGAATCCCCAAAGCCATCCAAAGTCCTTCAGAGCCAGTTCAGGAGCAAAGACCGAGTTGATGATTTTGGGGTCAAGAACAAGTCTTGAACCTACAGTAACCTGACAGATGACCTTTCCCAGCAGTTTCATAGACCAGATATTAGCATAGAGTCAAGTTTTGTGGCACTCCATATGTCTATTAGAATAAAATGCAAGACTAAATGCAAAATGTTTCAATTTCTGCATAATTTAGGTGCTCTGAAGTAGATGAGTAATGAAATGGCAGTTTTAGAATGGAGTAGTTTAAAATGAAGCCTTTGTGTTTTCAATTGATCACCCTTCACGATGAGGCCATGAAAGATCAAAAGGTCTGTATCCCCAATGTCTTCTCTTACTTGCTGTGTTGTGAGTTCATGGAAGTGCAGCAAGGTTGCTGTGATTTACTGAACTGAGATTCCCTCAGGTGAAAAACTGGATTTCTCTTTGTTTTCCCCAACTACCAATCCCAAGGATCCCTCTACCTTCTGGGAGTGCACAAGAGGGTATAAATTGAGAAGAATTACATTCTGTTAAAGAATATTCTTTCATCACTAATAAATGACAAATGCATACAAATCTAGAATGTACACCTGATATTTTGGGTGTAATCTCTCTTACTCCCTCTCTATTGAAATCAGAATATCTAGACCAGAGGTCCCCAAACTTTGGGGCACCAGGGACTGGTTCCGCAGATAAAGGTTTTTCTACAGACCGGAGAGTGTGTGGCTTTGTGTGCTGCCTGCATCCCACAGATGGGGCTTTGATTGTTTGTGTAGACTGGTTGCTGGCACACTGCGGCCTGGTACCGGTCCATGGACCGGGAGTTGGGGACCCCTGATCTAGACTATATTCACTACTGGCAAAATACAGTACATTTGGGTAGAATTAGACATAAATATTGTTGACATACCTGCCTGTATTAACATCACTACAATATATGCATTGCAAATTAGCAACTGTGAATAATTCTAAGTATGGATTATTTGGTCTTGCTTCAGTTTGGTTTTGAGCCAGTGTACACTATGAAGACAGCACTGATCACATTTGATGTCTTTTGGTAGAACAGGGAAATGGGTGGTGCATCCATCCTTGTGCTCCTTGATCTCTCAGCAGCAACCCACCCTTATGATGGGTGAATACCTAGGTCATACCATGGGTTCACTTGATTATATTGTTGGGTTTTAGAAAACTGTAAATGCTATAAAGAATTGCCTGCATGTGAATGACCTGTTGACTTCCCTTGAAGATATATACAAATAAGGCTAGCTTCTCCTCCAAACTTAAAATACATATTTCAGAACTTTCAGTAAATGGCAGAAGATGTATCATCTGTTTTATATCTTACAGAAAGATCTCTATCATAGTACTGGGCATAGTAGGCATGCACAGAGCATGATCTTATGATATAAGTTTCTCATATTTCAAGCTTGCCACATTCTCTAAATTCAAACTCTTAATTTAGTGTTGTTGTTTGGGTGTTTTTTTTGTTGAATATGAATAGGGAGATTTATTGAAATACATTCTAATGCTTGTATCTTTGGTGTCTGTTACAAAAAAATAAACTCCATATGGCACTAATCAAGGTAATTATTAGTTACTTTAAATATTACTTACTTAAAAATAGCATCTTTATAATAAACAACATATTCTCCATAGATTATTTTGCGCAGGATAGTAATAATAACATTGATCTGATCTACTAATCAGAATAGAGATAGACAATTTACCATTTTTCTTTCATTTTTGGTGTATGTGTGTGTTTGTGATGTGTGCATTTTATTCCATTTGCCTTGCATGTTTGCAATATGCAAATTCCAAGGTGCAACTTTCCAGATGTTGCAGACAACATCATATCTAAATGTCCTTTTTCATCAGCAAAGGTTTTGAGGGTTGTTTTTGGAATTCTATAAAGGATTTTTTTTTTCTTTTAGGAATACATACATTTGTCTTGATCCCATTTTGTAGAAAGTACCGAGCATAATTCTAACAGAGAAGGCCTGAATAGATTACCATCAATACAATCAATATTTCAAGACACTCTATTGCCAAATAAGTAAGCTTTCTAATACTAATAATCATCAGTACTCTGAACTGTGTCTGGTGGATCAACAGCAGTTGGTATAAAAAAGCAGTTACATTTTCCAAGCAATCTTACTGTAAACTTTATGAAGAAAAGAAATAATGGATTATGGGAGCACATCACACAATTTATCCTACCATTTCCTCAACAGAAGTGTATCCCAAATGTAGATGTACTTAAAGCACATCTGTTGAGGTCAATGTGACTTAAAGAATGAATCTAAGTACCATTGATTTCAGCAGGACTGATCTACTTTTAAGTTTACCTAGAAAAAGTCCCCTAAAAATTGGCAGACCTGTTTTTCAATGTCATTAAAATTTTAGAAAGTGAAGCTTCTTTATTAGACAAATGAATAATCACAGGAAGAAATTTCTCTTGGTCTAACTTCTTTTATGTGACTTTTTAAATAGAAAATTGTCTAGCAGTATCACTCTATTCTCAGCAATCTAAAGGAATTCACTACAACTTAAATTTTAACTTTGACCTGCTTGCAATAGTTTTTTTTAATTAAAATGTGCAATCTTTTTTTGAGCAACAATTTATCCTTTGACTAATATTTTTTTTTAAAAAAAAAAAACTACTTCAGGCTCAGAAAAAGCTTCTCTGGATTATTTAAAATAGAAAATAATGATTCCTTGAAAATATTTCCGAATCTATAAACCAAAACTATTGTTTTGAGAACGTCATCAATAAAGAGCCAGTTTGATGCGTCATGCCAAAACCATGCCCACCCAGCTCCGGCAATGGGGAAAAAGTCACGATATGTCGTGACACGTCATGTGACGTGGCGAGTTTGACACCCCTGGTATAGTGGTTAAGGCAGAGTTCCCCAACGTCTTTGGCTTTGTGGACAGACGGGGAGGGGGAGAGGGGATGTTCCCATGTGAGTGGTGGACGCGTGCTCTCTCGTGTGTGCAGCTCATTTTGAGCAAGCAGCGGGCATTCATGCTCACCGCTCACGCAAATAGAGCACATGTGCCTACTCGCCCACCAGTTCTGCGGCCTGGTTCCAAATGGCTCAAGGTCTGGAGGTGAGCCATGGCCTGGTGTTTGGAGACCCCTGGGTTAAGGCACTGGGTTAGAAAACAGCCCAGTGCCTAAAAGTCAGCTGGGTAACCTAGGCCAGTCATTCTTTACAGGGTTGTTGTTATGGAGAAAATAGGAGGAGGAAGGTGTATGGCTATGTTCGCAAGCCTTGAGTCATTCGTAAAACTAATAAAGACAGAATACAAATTAAATAAGTAAATACATTCAGACATGGCATCTTCCAAGCAAAGAACTGCAGTTAGCATTCCTTATTAAAAAACAATGATTTGCACTTTCATATTAGAAATTTTTTTATAACACTTCTAATAAAATCACATCTAATACCGCATAAAAGCCCTCTCCAGTAGTGAAACAGAATGGAAACAATGTGGTATGATATGTGATGTCATTTTCCTGCCACATAATTTTCTCCAAATACTCGTTCAGATATAGGCTCACATCTCCTGCACCTTTCCTGATTGTTTCAGTTGTCCTCTACCCTCCCCACCTAACAGTCACAGTATATTAGTCTAGTTAATTTTAATGGTGGCCCTTTATGCCACTCTCTGCAATATTGTCGAGAAGTGATGTGGGAGGAGAATGTACTAGAGCGTAACAACTGTTGCTGCTGAAGGACAATTGAAGGGAAGGGACAATTGATTGAAGAATACTGGTTATTACCATTATTGCTGGATTAAGAATGCCTGTGAACTTGCACTGTGCTTGATTACTTTGGGCTGCTTGCATATATTATACTTCTTGGAGGCTCATTGAATTAATTCTGTTAGAAGTCCCATGAAAGCAAGCTGCAGAAAAACCTATTCTCGACTCAAGTGACTTCCTTCCTTCCTTCCTTCCTCCCTCCCTCCCTCCCTCCCTCCCTCCTTCTTTCTTTCTTTCTTTCTTTCTTTCTTTCTTTCTTTCTTTCTTTCTTTCTTTCTTTCTTTCTTTCTCTCCACTAGAAAATCTACAGTGTGGATGCTCTGAACAGATAGCAATGTGGAGACATGGGAAATAGCATAGCAGCAACACCACACAGTCTTGTAGTGCTAGTTTTGCCCAGCTTTTCCCAGTTGTAGCAGCGTAGCACTACAACACCACACAGTCTTGTAGTGCTAGTTTTGCCCAGCTTTTCCCAGCTAGCACTGGGGGCGGGTGGGGGATGTAATGATAATTAATTGGCTATTATATTGCACAGGTTAGAATAAATTATTCACGCATCCTAGAATTAC